CCAATCAAGGCCGTGTCATTTGCATCCCATCCCCATCACTTGAACATACGAGATGGAGCGCAGCAGGGCCTCCAATGTTCAAATTGTGAATGACAGGCTAAAATAAGTAACTGCCTAGTACAGATACGGCTGCTGCGGTACCTTACATAGCGAGCCGTCCCCCGCTCGCTGCTGATTTCCACCTCAAGCGATCCAGTGTGGTAATGGTAACGGGGTTCGCCTCTCCGGGCTCTCCAGACTTCCGGCTGGGATGCAGGCACCGAAGTTCTCACGCGGGCTCAGAAAAATTCCCGGCCCACGCTAACACAGGCTTGTCCCGGTGGGCTGCCCTCATCAGCCTTTTTACACCTGAGGGACGCAAGGGATTCTCGTGGCAGCAAGACACCTAATCTTTCTAGTGGGAAAAAGAAAAGTCTGGCTCTAGCTCATTTCTTATCAATCCTATCATTTGCCTCTGCGTCTCGATCGCGGGGCCTTCTGGCTGTGGCGCCATGCTCCGATGTCCCGGCCGAGTTTTTCCAGCCCAGCAAAAGGGGCTCATCACAGAGCCTGTTCGACTGGCACCTCGCGTGTGATTCAGCCCCTTCGGATGGCGATCAGTGGCAACGGCCCTGGTCGTTTTGTGAACGGACCGCGAGCTTGTCATTTGTCAATCCGAGTTGACGCCCAACAACTTTTTGCTTTTATGGTGGGCACACCGCCGCCAAGCTGGCCCAAAAGTTCCGGCAGCGGAACTCCTCCTGACGGCGTGATTTCAGGAGTTCGCCTCACGAGGCTTGGCATATCAGATCATCCATCTTGTGCATCGTGCATCCCATTCATACTTCGTACAATTCTTCACTGGAAACTGCCGTGGTCACTCGGGTGAACTGTCGGGGCTTTCATGCCTCGGTGGATTGCTGAGCAAAGAAGCCGGGCCCGACTTCTGACCCAATAGTGCATTCCGAAGACCCATGTTTCTCGCCCCAGGTGGAGGTTGTGGCCAAAGCGGCGTAGCTAATTCCCAGCCTGGTGGTACTCGGAAGCAAGCGGATGGAGTCAATGATGCAAATTTGACATCTACGCAGTAGCATTCGGAAACTTGGACAGCATCGATGACAGAATTGCAACGAATATGATGTTCCTCTGACTGAATTAGATTATGAAATGAGATGAGTTTGAACATTTGCTTTGCTCAACGTTCATCTAAAGCTAAGGTAAATGTACTCCGATCGCGATGACAAGCGCAGAAGTTACGACTGTTCGACTAGCAGGCAAGAACTAGGTTGGTTCTGATCCCATCTGTAGGAACACAACTAGAACAGCAGAGTATCTGTAGTAGTAAAATCAGCATTGTGATGCATTCGTCAAAACAACCTTCCTATCCAACCGAATGCTTCTAGGTATCTCAGTGGCAAGGGCAATGTGTACGACGATAATGATAATCAAAAAGCCGGCGAGAACGGCTAGAAGCCCAAGTATGCAAGACGATACGGTGGACTACAGGGAGAACCGTGAAAGGATTACTAGAGTGAGAGGAAGAAGAGAACAAAATGACGAGGGGAATGGCAGCAATCCACGCAGATGGCAAAACTGGATGTGATATCCCGAGAATTACGTAGTCGACAAGGAGAACTGACCCAGCTGTTGCCGCCAGAACCTCAAAAGGCCTGGCCACGATACCCCAGTTCATGACGGTTAGGAAAACAAGAAGAAGCAGACTAATCGAGATCAGCTTATGCCACTCTTTGTCGAGCGCAGCTAGCAACCACAACGGGCCCACCAGCATCACCAAAGCAACGACGTAAATTCCCACGCGATGCATTACCCGCAGTCTTCCAGCGTCGTAGTGAATTGCTAGGTCATGGGCAGTCCGCTCTCTAGAGGGGTGCGCCTGTCTTCTCAGCCAACCAATGAATGGAAGTTCAATGTTTGTCTCAAGGAATCGTTGAGCTGTGGACTTCTTCTGCCCGATCATGGAAATCAGGTCTTTCTGATTGAGAAACTCGACCTCGTGAGGTTCAATCGGGTGATTCATATTGGTGAGCCACCTCTTCATGTTTCTAATGGCGATAGGCGGGGCATCCTGTGCTGCTCTCAATTGTAGATACTGACAACTAAGTTGTCTCCATGAATGTGAGCCATATTTCCGATGAGATTTGCAATGAATCAGTGATGAAATACCGTATCGTATCAGCGCATCGTGTATCTGGTCAAGAAGTTCCCTCCTCTCCGGCTGGTCCTTGCGGAAACTACCATTGTCGACGTCGGGACTCTGGCGTTCAGATAATCGGCCATCGAGCGAGTTTAGCTTGTCTTCAAGGTCTGTCAATCGGTCTTGAAGAGCAAGAAGAGTGCGATTATGCAACTCATCAAAGCGTCTGACGGCAAATTAATCGTCTGAGAGCGCAGAGAACTTTGCAAAGTCCTTGTATCCGACATACTTCCTTTCTCAGATGGTCAGTTATCTGACAATAGCATTGGGACCGAATTCTCACTCACCACGGCTTTTCGTCAAGATCATTCTGGGACAACACTTGTTCCTCGGCGCCGGTAGATGCCATTTCTGGCGAAGCAGGCTCCTTTGAATGACTTCAATGCGGTGATATTGGGGGAAAAGGGGTAGAGAAAAAGAAGTTGAGAGGAACGGACTAAATAATGTTAATGGCAGGCTGCCTTGACTGAATAATTCATGGGAAGACCAGGCTAGCGACCAAGTCTTGATGCTGTAGAACCACAGAAGCTCGAGTGTAATAAGCTTTAGAGAACATACTCATCAGCCTCAATACGAATACTCGGCGTGCAGCATGCCTCAGCCATAAGCGGTTCCGCTCTATTCGTTGGTGCAGCCGCCTCACTTTCCAGATCTGCAGTCAGCATCGCATATCGGGTGCCACGAAAAGCTCACGAGATAACAGAATAGCCAATCAGAATAGAAGAGCCTCATATTATTTGCACGTATATCCGAGTCGAATGCGCCACGTCATTTATTTTCACAACAGTGTGATCGTCAACTCGCGAAACACAAAGTGCACAACTGCGTCGCTAATTTGTTGAAGTATTTCTTGTCGGGGTTCGCCGGCCATGGCTCAATACCCCAAACTTTGTTCATGGAACGTATTGCACTCTCTTATCACCCCGCCATAGAGTTCGTGCGCATCACGGCGTCTCTTCTTTAAAAATGCCATCTGTAAGAGCATGAATCTTGGACTTGAAGCATCTCATGAAACTTAAGCTGACAGTCTAGTAGGATGACACTTCGGCAAATCCTGTGTTAGATATATATACATCCACTCCAAATCCAATACTAGATGGTGATGCGGGTACTTTGACATTTCAATATTTGGGGGGAGACAAGCGTTGGGTGTAGAGGTGTACATCGTTGGTTGACTTCTCAACAGGCATCGTTCAGGCTCGCGACAAATCAGCCAATCCACCAAAACCCCCGGCCCCTCGTCCAACGTCATGAAAACAGCTGCGACAATAACTATAAAGGTCTTGCTATATTTAATAGCGTGAAACATCCGTCCCTTAAGATTACATATCAAACACGAAGAGTAGAGAGAGCTAGAATGCGGATAGTATTCTTCGAGTAGGGCACGTCTGTTTGAAGATGGTCCATCCACAATACTCAAGTTGCTCAGACATTGTGTGATCTTCTAAGAAGACCGGGCGGAATGTTTGAGACTTGGGTCGGTGTCTCGTGCGTCGGTTTTGAGGGCAACACAGGTTTTGCTTCGCCTTCCATTCTCAATGGAACTGTCGGAAGGCGCATGGCAGAAGCTATCACACAAGGAAGAGAAATGCATGTTATCTCTAGCCATCGAGCATGACGCATCTAGTTAACGAATTATGACGTATCAAAGAGCCAAAGAGTAGGATTTTCAATCTTGTATCTATCAGTGGAGGAAGTTGCGACCCCAGTTGAAAGCATGGAGCGTGGCCATGGAGACGATTCCTAACACCATGTGCGGATGGACAGAGTAAGCGGGGGACTATGTCTCGATTAGTGATACATTTCAAATTAGTTTTGAAGAATTTTCACTCTATTGAGACTGATAGCTTTGAAGATCTATGATGCTTAATCCGGCATCTTGGCTGGCGGCAGTACTCTAAGTCGCCCATCTACCAAAATCGTCATCTGAGGCAATGGAGCTGAAGCCTTGAAGTTGAGCAGAATTGTGGCTGAAGGAGCTAGTTTTGTATACTCTCACGCGCTTACTACAGCTCTCGATTGCCGACGATAGAAGAAGTGCTGATTATGATGTACAAGAACACCTATCATGTCGGTCAATCATTAGTCTCACCGGCGGCCGGAAGTACTCACCGAGACCCCGACTGACCGAGCAGAAGACCTTTTGTGCAACCATCAAATGCGCCCCGCTCACGTCACCAGAGCTTATTTCCAGCCTTGTGAAAGGGTTGCAACGGGAAACTACATAAAACTCCACCACCTGTGCAGAGCCGGAGCCCTCGGGCATTCAGCCATCTGCAGCGATCGTCTACGCCGCGAACGTGCGCGTGGGTCATTTCTTTAAGCTTATTTAACGTAGCCTTCGCTAATCTGAACACAGGAGGTTGCAGTATGTGGTTTTATCCGTTGAGTTTAGCGGCTTCTGGGCGAAGCTATTCTCGCCAAGATCGCGGCTAGGGCAGGATTATGAATCAGGAGGGATTTTGACATGAGACAAAATGAACGCGTTTTAGGCCTCATCGATGATGTGACTGAATGAAACAGCTTAACGATTTATGGCTTTCCAGACTACGGCTTACGGCTTGCGCGCACGTCATTTTCAGATGTTGGAAGTGAGCCGGGCTTATGCACCCTGGTGTTAATAGTTGGCTGTAGAGTGTACTCAAAGCAAGAGGAGTTCTGCAAGGTAAATTTCATAGACATCGGTATTCTTGTTGCATCAAAATTCGTGGTATCATTATTCCCTCCCACTCAAGGTATCTACATTTGTTCCATAACGTTCACCTCGAACGATTTTACCTCACATGGCGGTGCCAATTGCAATGACTTATACATCGAGCAAGGCCTTTCTGGGCTTCTTTGCTCTGAATAGCATGGTCTGACCGATAACCCAAGTCTCGACCTCCTCAAACTCCTGGTCTAGTGCATCCTTGACATCCTCCTCCTTGTCGTCCCAGTTGTTGAAGACACCCCACCACTTGTTATACCAGGTAAGATAAAACCTCGTGAGGAAGTTGGTAGATTGTCTAGGTCCCAGTACGGTGCAACCAGCGAGGACTCCGTCCTCACTCAGCAGCTCCTTGTACGTCCCGAAAGCACGGAACTTTGACTTGCCACCAGGCATGCAGTGGAAGAGGTTGAACATGGTGATAGTATCATAGCGCTCGCCAAGGAGCTGCTTTGGCGGTGGCTCCGTAACGTCGGCCTCTACGCAGTCGACTTCAGTAGCCGACGTCACGGACAGGACGCGAGTCTTGGTGGCATTCAACGGCGGCGCGGTCAAGTCCACGAGGGTAAGACGTTGCCTGCTGTTGGCACGGAATGGCCGCGCCAGCGCGACGGCGGGAAAGTAGCCGGTAGCGACACCGACATCGAGGTGGTTGCGCGAGAAGTTCTCGCTGAAGAAGGGAAGGAGGACTTTGTCCGTGGGACACCCCCACATGTACTTCATGTTGAAGCCGAGGACATATTTGTCATAGAAGATGGTGAGAAAAGACGGTGAGTAGACGGTCTTGTACGTTGTGTTAGTCATCGTGGGCGATGACGAGTGAGAACAATGGATGGGGATGAGAGTGGGAATGAAGAGCGGTGCGGTTCAGTTGGGATCGCTCATGGATGGGCAAGGGCGCTGCAAGAAGAACAAAACCTTGAGATCATCCGGGAGGTGGCCGGTTATCACCTTGCCGGTGGCAATGCCCAGCGGCAGGGCGATTGTGTTCCACGACCCGTACATGCCCGTTCGTGTGAAGTGGCCGTCTGGCACATGCATTGGAGTGGGTTGCCGTATCCGTTCTACGATTTGTGTATGCATGTTCTCAAATGCTTGTTGGCGCTAAAGTCGTTGTTGCTTGACCATTTGCCTTGAATGGAACCCAGATTGCTGATCAATTGGTCAAATACGTGTAAATCCCTCAGTGGCCCCATTCCGAGTGGCATTCTATTGATGCCATGCACGTCGCCTGCATGCCAATTCTTCAACAAATCGAACTAAACTGCTGAGGGGGGTCATGTGGGAATGGCCTCGCCCAGATCATCAACTGCAAAGTACTCCGCGCCTGCATGCATGCAGCCATGCTCTGATCAGGACCCTTGTTTGCACTGTATATTGATTCCAGACAATGGATTGTACTCAATGGGGCTATGCAAACCGCCATGACAATTACAAGAATATTTGATTGTCTTCTTTTTGTGATAATGAAGCCCAAGATTATCATAATTCGCTCTACGCAAGCGCCGCGTGGGGGTATTCCGACCAATCCCTTCCATGTAAAAGCAAACACACATGTTTTTTTCTTGAAACCCTTATTCCGCATGCGAACTGAGGTTGGAAGTAGAAATTGACGCCTTTGCCGACCGTGACGAGCTGGCCAGGGAGACAGAAGACGATGTACCGCTACGCGGCTTTCGGCAGTAGACCGTAAGCCTTGTTATGCGATGACTGGTTAACAAAGAACAAGCAAACCGGTTTGCGGACGGGACAGGGGACTCGGCTTACAATGTCATGAACGAATGGTAGTTTGTATCGCCAATCTCTTCACGGACGTCTTTAACCAACGCAAGCACTTGGGGCTCGGTCCAGCCGAGGCCAATGGTGAAAACCGGGACACTGAGTGGCTCAATGATGGCATTCCAGTTCTTGGTCATCATGACACCGAATCTTTGGCATTTCTTGCCCGGATAACACGAGTTCGTGGGGGCAGCATGCTTCGTTATCTTCATCCTCTCGAAGCCGGCCTTCTCTAAGATAGGCTGGTAATGGTTGGGATAGTGTAGAGATCGTCCCATGTTCTGCAGGCCTTGTCGGAGCAGCAGATTCCATTTGTGGAATGCGCTGCCCTCCAAGGATCGGTTTGGAGACTGGAGTATGGCAATCCACTCTGTGAACTCAGCCCAGCCACCAGGATTCAAGTGGTCGTAGACGGACTTGATGAGCTGTTCCTTCTCTGACACATCACCAAGCATACGGACATGGATAAAGTCGAACTGCCTGTTTAGGTTCCAATCCGCTGTCGCGTCCATGATTTTGAATGAGCAGTTGGACACCGAATATGGCGGGCGAACCTTCTCAATGTCAATCCCCAGTACGGCACAGTTGGGATTCTTCTTGGCTGTTGTTGGAACAAGGGTTAGTGTGGACCACGTCAGGAGGCCTTGAAGGCCAACATGAGGAACTTGCCGTATTCCTGCGTCCATGTCAGCCGGCTATTCCATGATGTGTTCATGCGTGCGTAAAGGAAGAACGGGAGTGATGATGCACGTACTAATGCCCATAACCCTGGCCCAGTGCCAATGTCCAGAACGGCCCTGGCCTTCACGACCGGGGCAAGGTGGAGTCTACCATCGAAGAGTTCGGCGATGATCTGATGTTGGAGCACTGTTTGCGGGTTAAAACGTGTTGGACGAGGCTGGAAGAGACGCAGCTTGGTGGATGGGATGAAGTTCTAACCATTTCTGTCTTGTTCCTCCTGGTCGTCAAATCTCGGGTCAGCGGACACAAACATGGCAAACCTGAACTCTAAGCGAGGGTTCACGAACCTTGCTGTTTGGTACGAAGCCAAAACGCTTGCCAGTCTTAGCGAACTTTGAGAAGATTGAGGAGAAGATCGACTTCTTGGACTTGGTACGCGTGGTGGCGGACCTGTCACGTTGGTTCCGGCGGTTAGTTGAACATGAGATATGATGGCAGAGTCCATGTCAATGATGGACATCAGTGGGGGGTTGGCACCGGTGTAGCACAAGGGAGGCTTACCGGGACGGCGCGCGAGTGCTCGGGTGCGGCGTCGAATCGTCGGTGGAATCGTCCAGGTCAGAGTCCGATGCTCCCGCCCACACCGCCCGATCGACTTCATCAGATGTCGGGCTGGGGTGATCTTCAGGGTAGTCCTGTCGTGTTACGAGCTTCAATTGCTATTCAGAGACAGACAGAGACAGGATTGCTGGGTGCTAAACCACATGCTTGGGCTACATGTTTGGGGTTTGGGGCCACGCCAAGAAGTAAAAATAAATAAAAATAAGAAACGACAGCACATACGTCTTGTTTGGACGACAGCACGGATATGGAGGGTCTGGTAGAGGGCGGCGTATGCGGCCGGGCGCTGTCGGTGGAAAAGTTGCGGGGGAGTTCGGACGACATGGACGACGAAGTAGCGGTGAGCGTCGAGGTGGAGGCGACCGAGACGCTGTTCGCAGCCGTTGGAGGACGCCGCGGCTGTCGTCCCAGGAGTTGGTTGTACTTGTCCATCAACTTGCGGGCCGCTCCGAAAAGGCCGTGAGCAAAGGAGGGGAAAAGAGAGGGGAAGAAGAGGAGGGACGGGAGGGGGGATGGGGGGAGAAAGTTGTCCGGTCTACGGCCGACGCGCGATGTGATGCACTTAGGTTGCAAGCAGGCTGGCACGCAAGGACGCAGATAGGCGCAGTAGACGCAAGGGAAGAATTCAGACTTAATGAACGAGCAAAAGAGAAGCGGGATAGACAAGGTCGTCCCATGGACGGAATGGGTTCGTCCTGTTTTTTCATGCTTGGGGAAAGGGGCTAGGGCAAGTAGTTTATTTTTCCTTAGGTGCCACTGAGCGCACTGCCGCCCTCGACATCCCTGTCATTTTGGATGTTTGCTTGTTCCAGTTCAGCGCTGCTGGAACCGTAACCCGGTAAAATGACCGGTCTAGATGGTGGAGAACTACGACATATAATTGGGCTTCGCCGGCCGTTTACCAGGACGTGCTCCTGACGTGGTCATAACTCATATGCCCAAGACTCAGCCAACCTCCTAGCGAATGTCTGAGCGAAGACAAGATAAATAGGGGAGGATCCCCTTTTGTAGCTTGTGGGAGAAAACTCTTCGGCACTTTTGTCATAACGGCCTTATCGCGGGTCCTCCGGCCCCCGGCTCCAACGTATCGAGCGGCACCTGAAGGTCGCAGCCCGGCTAGTCATGAACTTACATTACTTTTAGTATGTGTATGGAGCGGCACGGAGGGAGGAGGTCGGCAAAAGATACGATTACGGCCCCCTATCGCCCGGCGGTCATGGGCATTAGCATAAAACTGCCGCCCTGCCGAACATTGATTGGTTTCCGCACCCCAGTAGTTATCTCTTTGATCGCCTTCGGATCCCCGGGATTCGATCCCGATTCCAATTGCGCGGCAGCATTTCAGCGAAAAGGGGGAACATGCCAAGGCCGCGACTCACACACCATCGATGAGACAGGCTTCACGTGGTGCCGACGAGATGCAACGGAACGAAAACGATTCAAGCCAATCTTGTGTTCCCCCACCGTGATCCTCCAGTCAATCCGATGCGTGGGGAGCATTGCAGAGAATTTCTGCTTGCCAAATGATTGCTAAGGAAGCCGAAGGAACAACTCACCCTCCTTCGCGTTTTAGTTGCAGTGCTGCTCCTCCCGAAGTGTTCTAGGAGCCAGCAGCTTGCGGGTCGGTTCAGGATGGACCGGACGATGCCTTCCTCTTTGAATCGTACTACTACTGCGCAAGCCAATATTCTGCCTGCACAGTGGAGATTAATCCTTCTTGTACAGAGTCGCTGGAGCTGTTGGAACAAATGCCCTCGTCATAATGCCATTGTATATGTATGTTTGCTCGAGAAAGTCAAGGGTCTTGATCCTACCCGGCACTCTGGTCGTCCCGCACTGTATATGCCGGCCGGTACTCGTATTTTCTCACTGGCCTGTTGGTTCCTCACGTCGGGGGGCTGCCCTGCTTTCGTTTTAGTGCAGCGTCAGGGGACATGCAAGGGTCCTCACCCTCAAATGGGCTGATGGATGTTTGCAAAGTGTGCGTCGTCATCAAACAACTGAGTCGAGACTCTCAAGTGGCGGGTTGGAACAACTTGTCCTCGGACTCGCTGGCACAGACATTGTTGGCGCAAGATGCGGCTAAATGTGACAAGCTCCAACTCGAATGCAACTTGCGAGCTGCACGACAAGCACAAGCTCCAGTCTCCCGCAAGCAGCTTCGGAAAGTATGGAGACAGCAACGGAAAACCTACCCAGCGACCTGCGGGTTATCTTGAGTTTGGTCAACTGAGCAGTGTCTGTGGATGATCGGTGTCTATCTCAGTACCAACAGCATGATGAATTGCAGCATGCTGCATCGGCGACCGACCAGGGTCACGAGCTTGCCATTCAAGCTTGACTCCGAGAGGTATTTGCCTTTAAACCAGGTCGTTGACGAGAGCCTCGGACGGCGGAAAGCTTTTTAGTCTTCATGTAAAAGTGTGCTGCCATCCCGTGGAGCCCTGATCCAAGTCTTTCCAACTTCTCTGGATATTTCGCTCTCAACAGCATATCCGCCGCCACATCCACACCACCTCACACCGCAGCTCACCGCAAGTCACCGCTCAGACCTAAGCTGAACCTTCAACCCCGGATAGGATAGTGTCTTACATTATGGGAGACCCAATTGCAATCGTTGGCCTTAGTGCAAGGCTCCCCGGTGATGGCGATACCCCTGAGCGATTTTTTGAGTCCTTACTCGCTGGAAGATCAGCCCGGACGGAAGTCCCGAGTGAGCGATACAACGCAAACGCGTTCTGGCACCCAGACGCCGAGAGGAGTGGTGCGGTGCGTAATCTATCCCAACAGCCGTTTAACAGCTTCCAGCAGCAGTAGACTGACAAGCTGGGAAGACACGAGTCCGCCATGGACATTTCCTCAAGGGAAGCATCAAGGCATTCGATGCGCCCTTTTTCTCAATTACACCTACGGAAGCGAAGAGTATAGATCCGCAACAGCGTGGAATGCTAGAATGTGTATACAAAGCACTCGAGAATGGTACGAGAACATCCTTGCTTCTTCTGAGTTTCTGCTGGGGTTGATGCTGACTTTTGCTATGAAAAAGCCGGAATTCCTCTCGATGCGGTTGCCGGATCACAAACCGGCGTTTACGTTGGTTGCTTTACGGCAGACTACAACGATCACATCGCGAAGGATCTGGACATCCCTAACAAGTACTCGGCGCTTGGAACAGTGGCGAGCATGCTCAGCAACAGGGTGTCATGGTTCTTCGATTTCAAGGGCCCGAGCGTAACAGTCGACACGGCTTGCTCCAGTAGTCTGGTTGCTGTGCATGAAGCTTGTATGAGCTTGAAGCTGCGAGAAGTCTCCATGGTAAGCCCAACCTGTGGAGAGAATGCGAAGGAAGGGATGGTTTTGAGTTCAAAGTGCTGACGGATCGTCCTAGGCGGTCGTGGGCGGATGCAACCTTATCCTGACCCCCGAGATGACACTAAAGCTCGACGCCGCTGGTGTTCTGGGTCCGGACGGCAAATCCTACAGCTTTGACCACCGCGCAAACGGGTACGCGCGCGGTGAAGGGTTCGGAGCCCTTGTTTTAAAGCGGGTATCCGATGCTATTCGGGATGGAGACGTGATCCGTGCCGTCATCCGGAACTCGTCCACGAACCAAGACGGGAGATCGCCCGGCATCACGCAGCCGACCAAGGCCGGCCAGGTCGCGCTCATCAGACACGTTTACTCTAGGGCTGGGCTGGACCCATCCCTCACTCGCTTTGCCGAAGCCCATGGCACTGGCACGCCGGTGGGCGATCCCATCGAAGCGAGCGCACTGGCCGAGATCTTCGCGGCCCACCGGACGCCGGCCGATCCGTTGTACGTGGGAGCCTTGAAGAGTAATGTTGGACACTTGGAGGGCGCTGCTGGAGTTGCTGCCGTCATCAAGGGCATCTTGACGCTGGAAAGCGGCATCATCCCCGGCAACATCTGGCATGAGAAGCGGAACCCCCAAATCCTGGACTCGTGGAACCTCAAGTTCCCGACCGAGCCGACAGAATGGCCACAGCGTGGTCTGCGTCGGATGTCCATCAACTCATTCGGTGTTGGTGGAAGCAACGCCCACGTGGTTATGGATGATGCGCTGCACTTCTTAAAGCGGCACCGTCTGGTCGGTAACCACCGAACAGAGGCCGTCCCGAGGATTCCCGCCAGGTTCAGACCAGTTAATGGGGTCAAGGTGAATGGTATCAACGGTATTAATGGCACACGTAAGTTTCTCTATGTGGAGCTACTCTCTGCTAGAACTTCAGCTAACCCTATGGCTACCAGACCGTGCCCATGGTCGCCACCGTCAGGACAGTGGCGTGAACATGGGTGATGTCGAGGCCGAGTCGAACGATGTTTCTCCACGGATTTTTGTCTTCTCCGCAAACGACCCCGATGCCGTTTCAAGATTCAAGACTTTATACAAGGATCATCTCGCATCACAAGACACCGACGAGACGGCTTCTCTGCGGTACATCCGGGACCTGAGCTACACGCTCGCGTCTCGCAGGACTCAACATGCTTGGAGATCTTTCAGCATTGCGAGCTCCTCACACCAGCTCCAGAAAACTCTCGAAGATACTTCGAAGCCCACCAGAGCCAAGTCACAGCCCAGGTTAGGCTTCGTCTTCACTGGTCAAGGTGCGCAATGGGCAGCCATGGGCATGGACCTCATGGTCTACCGGGCTTTCCAAGAGAGTCTTCTTGCGGCGGACAGATATCTCAGCGATCTTGGCTGCAACTGGTCTTTGACATGTGAGTTATGATTGTTTCGGCTACATGCAATCGCCCACTAACTAGTCAACTAGTCGAGCTCTCCAAGACGAAGACATCCTCTCGAATCGATGACCCCGAGTTCTGCCAACCCATCTGCACCGCCCTCCAAGTCGCCATGGTTGATCTCCTTGCCTCATGGAGCATCTACCCCCACGCCATCACCGGTCACTCTTCAGGAGAAGTTGCCGCTGCATATGCCGCTGGTGCACTTTCCAGAGAAGCAGCCTGGAAGGTCGCCTACCACCGTGGAAGACTGAGCGCCAAATTGATGCGTGCGGAGTCCCGTCCCAAGACCAGCATGGCTGCCATCGGCCTCGACACCGCCAAGACCGAAGCTGCCATCGATCGCGTTAACCAGCTCGGCGGCGAAGGCACTCTTCAGATTGCCTGCATGAACAGCGCTGACAGCCATACCGTCAGTGGTGATGCTGGAAAGATCGAAGCGCTTGTCGAGATGCTCAGCGCCGAGAAGGTGTTTGCCAGGAAACTCAACGTCGAAATCGCTTATCACTCCCAGTACATGAAGCCCATGGCCGACGAGTACTTGCAAGCAATGGGCGAGCTTGAGAAGGGCACCTTCAGAGGCTCTGTTGAGCCTCGGATTTACTCCTCAACCGTAGGAGCGCCCATTGAGGCCTCCCAGCTTCGACAGCCCGCATACTGGGTCAAGAACTTGGTATCGCCGGTCAGGTTCACCGAGTCAGTCACCGAGCTGCTCAAGGGTTCCTCTGTACCCAAGACCAACGGTCACGTGAATGGCTTGGTCAACAGTGCTAACGGTGTTAACGGTACACACTTGACTAATGGAGTCAACGGCGTCAACGGAGACGTTGATGAGGAGGCTGCTTTGGAACCCATCACCGACTTCCTGGAGATCGGTCCTCACAGCGCACTCAAGGGACCGCTCATCAGCACTACCAAGCAGGTCCGCGGTGGCGTCTCTGTTGACTACCACTCCCTGCTCAGGCGTCAGAAGTCCGCTGTTGAGACAACCCTGGAGACTGTTGGATCTTTGTTCTGCCAAGGCTACAAGATCGACCTCGCCCAAGTCAACGATGCGGACGAGCCCTACGGACCGAAGCCGCTTATGCTGACGAACCTTCCCGCCTACCCGTTCGACCACTCTAAGGAGTACTGGGTTGAGAGCACCCTCAGCGACAACTTCCGGCTCCGACAGTTCGGCCGCCATGAGCTTCTCGGCGCGCCGGTGCCCGGCTTGAACGAGAACAACGCTGCCTGGCGCAACTACATCCGCCTCACAGAGAACCCCTGGATCGAAGATCACAAAGTCTCGGGTGATATTTTGTATCCTGCGGCTGGCATGCTCGTCATGGCTATCGAAGCCAGCAGACAGGTTGCGGACAAGACTAAGGTCCTTAAGGGCTTCCGTTTCAAAGATGTCTCCTTCAAGCTAGCATTGCGGGTTCCTGATGATGCCCGTGGTGTTGAGTCGCAGTTCTTCCTCCGACCCCATCGCGAGACAAGCTTGTCGTCTGCTTCGACATGGTCTGAATTCCAACTCTGGACCCTCCAAGACGGCTCATGGAGAGAGCATTGCCATGGTTTCGTGCAGACTGAGTACGATACCGATGGATCCCAAGATGATGTTTCAAGTCTCGAGGGCCAATTGAAGGACATTCAGGGCCGCTGCAGCACTGAGATCACCGTTGACAAGCTCTACCACAACTTTCAACAGGTTGGGCTCGACTTCGGTACTACTTTCCAGACTCTGAGCGACATTCGGCTGGGAAACAATCTGAACGTTATTGCGACAATCGAGAACTCTGGGGACAGGATCCAGCAGTCTATGCCCAAGCAATACGTTCAACCTCACATGGTGCACCCCGCAACCTTGGATGCCATTGTCCACGCCAACTTGGCCCCTCTGGTCTCCAACACCAAGTACTCCAAGGCCACTCGAGTACCAACGTACTTGGCCGACGGTTGGATCTCTGCGCAGCCAGATGTTCTGCATGACTCTTACAAGGTGTCCGCCGAGTCTCGCTTCCACGGGCGCAACGAGGTTATTTCTGAGGCGATCGCCTCGCATCTTGACGAGAACCAGCTAATGGTGCACATGTCAGGCCTTGTCTTCAGAACCATCAGTGAAGCATCTGAGGAGACGTCAGATGCTTCGGTGCACCCAGCTTTCAATCTCGAGTGGAAACCGGATCCGTCATTCCTCTCCAAGGAGCAGGCTTCCAAGGTGTTCGGACTGCCCATGACCCAGAAGGATGACCCGTCCCAGTGGATGCAAGACTGCGAAGCCCTTTGCCTGGCGTACATCCGCCGTTGCATGAGCACTGTGTCCCAGGAAAGCCTTTCCAAGATGACTTGGTACCATCAACGATACGTCAAGTGGTTCCAACATGTTGTCAGCCAGAACTCGGACCAGCCCACCCAGGATATTGCTGATCTTGAGTGGAGTGTCACTCAAGGGGGTGCTTCCGAAGGCAAACTGATCATCGCCGTTGGTCGTGCGCTCTCGGACATCCTCAATGGACAACGCGACCCCCTCGACGTCATCTTCAAGGACAAGCTCGCCGAGGACGTCTACCGCGATGGTCTTGGCTCCAAGCGATGCTACGAGCAGCTGCAAAACTACGTCGATGCCCTTGCCCACAAGAGCCCGTCCATGGAGATTCTCGAGATTGGCGCCGGAACTGGTGGCGCCACTCGCCCGACCATGAAGACGCTCACGGACAACGGCCGTCGATACAAGTCTTACTGCTTTACTGATATCTCCCCTTCGTTCTTTGAGCAAGCCAAGGAAACTTTCAAGAACGAGGTGGGACGTATGAGCTTCCGCGTTCTGAATGTTGAGAACGACCCCTTGGGCCAGGACTTCGAAGCTGGCAAATACGACCTGATCATTGCCGCTAACGTTTTGCACGCCACTAAGAAGATCGACGACACCCTGTCCAATGCCAGGAAGCTGCTCAAGCCTGGCGGCAAGCTTCTTCTCTTCGAAATCACCAACACTGCTGTGCTCTTGAGCAGTTTCTGCTTCGGCGTGCTGCATGGTTGGTGGCTTTCAGAGGACAAGGACCGAATCTGGGGACCCTTGATGTCTGCCCCATCTTGGGACCATCATCTACGCAAGTCAGGCTTCGGTGGCCTCGATGCCGTGTTGGACGACTTCTCTGGCTCGTACCACCGGATGAGTTCCATTCTCGTCTCAACTGTTCCCAAGACGGAGGAGAAGACTGCCTCGATTCTCCCAGAGTACATCTTGACCACTGGACAGCCCTCCCAGCTGAAGATTGCCGAAGGCCTCAAGCAGCAGCTCGGATCTTCGGAGGTCGTGGATCTCTCAGCTGCCACAGAGAAGGACATGACTGGCGCCAGCTGCGTTGTTCTCGCCGAGTTCGACAGCCCTATCCTCAACAACATCACGGAAGACGTCTTTGGCGGGATCAAGCGTGTGCTTACTCAGTGCAAGAACATCGTATGGCTTACTCGCGGCACTACAGACCCCAACGCCGACCTTGTGACCGGCCTCGCAAGAGTAATTCGGTCGGAGAGACCCGACGTCAAGTTCCTGACGCTCTCTTTTGAGCAGGCCGCCAGTGAATCACTCGTCATTGAGAGGACCGCTCAAGTTCTTCATGCCGCTCAGTCCGGGTCTGAGAATGCCTTTAGGGTGGCCAGTGATGTTGTCAATGTGTCTCGCCTGGTAAAGGCACAGTACCTCACTGAGCACATCCAGAACCAGACTGGCAGCTTGGATGTTGTCATAAAGCCTCTCGACGGGGAGTCGTCTCGCTACTTAAGTCTTCACCCGGGTACCATTGGCAAAGTCGACTCGCTCAGATTCGAAGATGACGCTCTCTTCGATTCTCCCTTGGCAGACAACGAGGTCGAGATCAAGACCATGGCCTGCGGTCTCACCATTCAAGACCTGTCGTCGGCACTCGGCAAAACCGATGAAGCCCCGCTGGGTTGCGAAGCTGCTGGTGTTGTTACCAGAGTTGGTTCGATTTCCAAGTTCCTAGTTGGTGACCGCGTCTTCGGTCTGTCCAAGTCTGGCGCCATCAAGACGCATATCAGATCCACGGACGGCCTCCTCGCCAGGTTGCCAGACGACTTGACATGGTCTCAAGGTGCCTCTCTTCCCGTCGCTTACACAACAGCCTACGCAACTCTCCACGAACTGGGCACTGTTCGCATGGGTGAGACTGTCCTGGTCCACGAGGGGGCGTCTCACCTGGGCACGGCGGTCATTCAGCTCGCTCAGATGCGTGGCGCTGACGTCTTCGCAACTGTCAAGAACGCCACAGAGCGCGGACTCTTGGAGAAGGTCTGCGGTCTTTCCCAAGACCGCGTCTTCGGGGCTCGCGACAGGTCCATCAAGAAGGCCCTCCAGACTTCGACTCAAGGCCGTGGCGTCAACATCCTCGTCAACACCGCCGACAACACCGAGTTCCTTGACGCGGTCATGGAATGCGTTGCTCCCTTCGGACGCATTGCCAACGTCGGTGGACAAGATGGTGACTCAAGCGCTCGCTTGCCACGAGGCCGCAACATTCGCTTCGAGTCCTTCGACCTTGCCTCATGCACTGCTCATGACCCGATTCGTACCGAGAGCATGTTCCAGCGCATGACTGAGATGGTCTTGGCTGAGTGGGACACCATCAGCAAGGCTCCTTCACTGGCCACCTACCCCTTCTCCAAGATCCACGATGCTTTCCGCCATTTGCAAACTGATGGTACTAGTTCCAAGCTTGTCTTGGAGCCCCGTGACGATGACCAGGTTCCCATCCTGCCGACTCGCAAGTTCGTAAGCCGTTTTGACCCTGAGGCTTCTTATGTCATTGCTGGTGGTCTCGGTGGACTGGGAAGGTCGGTTGCGCGATGGATGGCATCTCGAGGTGCCAAGAACCTCATCCTACTTTCTCGACGTGGTGCTGTCGAGGAATCTGCCAAGGAGCTTGTCAAGGAGCTTGAGGGCGTCTGCAACAAGGTCATCACCCCCGCATGTGATGTGACCGATGCGGACGCTCTCAAGAATCTCATTACCGAGCTATCATCTTCCATGCCTCCCATAAAGGGCTGCATTCAAGGCTCCATGGTTCTCAAGGTCAGTATTTGATGTTTACCGCCCCTTTATAACGATGCTAACTCTGGAGTAGGACAATATGTTCGAGAACATGTCGCTCGACCACTGGAAGGCAGCCGTTTGGCCAAAGGTCCAGGCGTCCCAGAACCTGTACCAAGTTCTCGGAGACAAGACCGACTTCTTCGTCTTACTCTCGTCGACTGTTGGCATCACAGGTAGCCCCGAGCAGGCCAACTACGCTGCGGGTGGCACTTTCCAAGACGCTTTCGCTCGCCACCTCGCGTCCAAGGGCGTCAACGCCGTCTCAATTGACCTTCCCATCATCCAGGGTGTTGGCTACGTCGCCGAGAAGCCGGAGCTCTTCGAGTACCTTCGCGCTTCTGGTTGGACCTACATCAACGAGGCGGAGCTCCGGGCCGTGCTCGACTACCACTGCCGTCCTGCCAGTGCCCCCGTGCAAGCGTCAAAGGCCCAGGTCATTCCTCGCCTCTGGCTGCCCCAAGAAACCGCCGCCCAGGGCTACCAGACGCAATCGTGGGGAGAAGATCCCCTTTTCAGCCATCTCGAGCTTGGTCAGACAGATGCCGATGCAGCCGGCGCGACTGAGGCCAACAAGACCATTAACCACAAGGCACTGCTCACCGGTGCCGCATCATGGGAGGATGCCGAGAAGATTGTGCTGGAAGCTTTGCTCCTCAAGGTTTCGAGAATGCTCAGCATCGAGGTGGAAAACCTTGACATTGGCAAGCCTCTCCATGCATACGGAATCGACTCCCTCACGGCCGTTGAGCTGCGGTCTTGGCTCATGAAGGAGCTTGGTGCAGAGGTTTCGCTGTTCGATATCACCAACAACTCTAGTCTTTCCCAGCTGGCCGGAACTGCTACCAAGAAGAGCACTCTGAGACCAAAGTTTGGGTAGAAGTTCGATTTTCAAACGCGGAGATTTCAATATTTTCTTTTTTCTTAGTTATTATTCGGGTGTTTGGCGAAAGGGTTGTTAGATATCCGTGGAATTGGGAGTGTTTCGTTTTTGGTAGTGTATTGTTGTTCACGAGTCACACGCCATTCTGATAGAAATCAGTTATAATGAACCACGTTTGTTAGAAACAGTCGATGAAATTGCCCCATCTTAGCTCTGTATTGATGACATGTATGGAGGCCTGGTCCTGCAGCTAGCCACTCGGGCTTGATTGGCCGAGCTGCATAGCTCTTCCGTATTTTTCCCGTGCATATTAGACGTATTAGAGGGCCCCTCACCTCTTTTGATGGTGGGGTCAAATCTGTTCATCTCAAATGAGCTCTCAGCTTCCATGATATCACAGAATTCCTTAACTCTTCACCCCGTCGCCACTCGCGAGGGATGATGCCTATAAAAATGACATCGTCATGGCTCCAAGATCACCACTTACAGTATTTGAAGCTGCGAGGTGGGGTCTCTCCTGACCAAGCAATCTCGCGAAGAGGGCAGTTCACAGCACAAAGCCTCCACACATGCGCGCATTGCCAGAAATTGAAGACCACGGAAGCGCAACAAGTGCAGTCACAAGACGTGTGGTTTTCCAACCCCGAATATTCCAGTACCTTCCAATTGGAGCCACGCGTAGACTTCCGGGAGGCAATTGAAGGAGCAAAGGCCGGCTGCGAACTGTTGATTTGGATGGCTGATCACCTTGTAACTCAATTCTCTCTCACGGGACTAGCTGCGAAAGTCGATCAAAGCTACCAATTTGGCTTGATTGGAAGTGGCTCGATGCCAAGGTTTAGACTGCTTCTCTCATCAGAAGGTTCGCGAGTTGATCTGCCACGCTCACGATATGATAACGAAGTACTGCTCGATGGCTGGACAACTGAGGGTAAGTGGAGTTTTCCCGATGTTCATCTCATATAAGAGGTCATATCAAATTCCTTGGTCTGAAATTCTGCACCTCTTACTACGAGGTAAGATCTCCATGTTACTGTTGTCGCCAGTATCGCTGACAATCTATTTGGTTATATCTCTCTGTAGCGTTAGGCAAGGGTACCTCATCGACAGCGAAACTGACAATCTATTGATAGATAATCCAGCTGCTAGCATCGTTCATCAAAGGCCATGTGAATTTAACAAGTCATCTGCGATTTCTCGCGCGTTTGCTCAGCAGAGTTTCAAGACCTGTTTTCATACCCATGCCCAATGTCGATCTCAGCGTATTGGTGACTCGGCCGACGACGCCCCCGAAAGTTTGGAATTGTCTGAGGCACCCTCTAGGCTGCTACATATCGAACTGAGAGACGACAAGCTGTTTGTGGCCTTGACGGATACGCCTGCGATTTCCAGCACAAAGATCGGCCAGAGACTTTCAGCTGGTGGTTACGTCACGCTGTCGTACTGCTGGGGAGGTGATCAGCCTGTGAAATTGACTGCAACAAGCCAAGATTCACTGAAGCAAGGCATTGCCTCGACTGATCTACCCCAAACATTGTGCGACGCTGTAACTTTCTGCCACAGCATGGGCCTTGGATTCATCTGGATCGATGCTTTATGCATTTTGCAAGACAGTGATGAGGACAAAGGCAACGAGATTGCCAGAATGAGGGACTACTATCAGAAGAGCGTACTCACAATATGCGGTGCTTCCTCCTCGCATTGCGCGCAAGGACTATTTGACATCAAGCGACCATCATACGAAATGGGTCCAATCAAGTTGGCATTCCAGCCAGCTGACGGGAAGCCTGGTCACATCTTCTTATCCACAACACCTGATCCGCAACCGGAGGTGCTGACGACTCGAGGATGGACTCTGCAAGAGTCCATGCTATCACGAAGAATGGTATATTTGCCCAAGGCCAACTCTATTGGTCATGCCAAACGAGCTACTCTGCCTGCTCGGGCGTCATGATCAACCGGTCTTTCGGCGGACCCGAGAGCCTTGTGGACAACATCTACCCAATCACGACTCTATATGAGCGACCTCTCCAGAGCCAGTGGGAGGCGATCGTTAGGAATTACTCCAGACGCCATTTTGGATTTGCCGCAGACAAGCTCCCGGCAGCTTCTGGTTTGGCAAGCGTCGTTCACGACATTGCCCGAAGCCGAGGTTTCGACATGTTTTCGTCGCAGGCTTGTTCATCGACATGAACCAACCTCATTCCTGGGCGGACGAGTTACAGTGGTGCACTCGCTCTATAGACGCTAGCCGTTACGACGACTACGTCGCTCCGTCATGGTCATGGGCGAGTGTCAATGGTGCTGTTCATGTGTATCCTCGAGGTGTCCACAAAGCTCCCCGAGAGTCAAGTCCCCCATTCTTCACCGTCGAGGACTACGGCGTCACTCTTGTTGATCGACGGATACTCTATGGTGCTGTAACTAATGGCTTTCTCGCACTCAAGGCAATACTGCGTAGATTTCCTGGAATGGCATCACTGGATGGCATTGACATCATCTCTGCGTTGGAAGATGCCACACGGGATGTTCGTCCCAGGGAAAGCCAGCTGCAAGAAATTACCAACCCGTACTTGGAGATCATCGCGGATACTAGAGAGTCCCAGTCGCTGATACAGACGAGCTGTGCAGATACAGGGGTTTTTCTCCTGCGAATGGGCCCTGCGAGTGGTCTGTTAGTCACAGGCCGGGGCTTGGCGGAAGGGTACCAACGACTCGGGTATTTCGAAGTGCAAGAGAACTAGAAGGGTGGCAAGTCACTAAGCAAGTCTACAGAGGCCATGACGGACCTGGTTTTTGAGCAGGAGCAATTTCAGAGCATCTTGTTGGTATAGGGTCTAGTGGTCCATTGTCTTACAGTCTGATCGCACTCTTGGTCCATATCGCTTCATTCATGAGGCTTAGCTAGGAGTTATCCGCCTAAGTAGCAACTTCCCTCAAAATTACAAGTACGATGGGTAAGGTTGAAGCCTTTGTGTGAGATATTGATGGGGGCGATAAGCCACAAATTGTTCTGTCAACGTCATACTGAAAACAGTATCAATCCTTTCCTTGCGAGGTTGCTTTACAATCATCAATTCCGGCGTGTATAAATACCTTTCTTTTGACGATTACTAGCGCTTTGCTAATAGCGGTTTAAAGTCTGACAAAAAGCGGCTGATGAACTGGACGGCCTCTTCTTGAAGGGGTTCCGTACAAGGCTGTAGCTTCTGGCCCAGTAGATCATTCCCGTAAACGCCTTTTAGATAGAGGGCTACGTTCTTAAAACACTGAGGGCTTGTGCGCTGCTGAACAACGAAGAGGAGTTTTCAAGTTTGTTGAGGTATACCACTTACGATTTGACACTGGTGGGAGACAGAAGCTCCCGAACATCCCTGGAAAACGTAGCATAGGGATTGAAAGTTTGCGATGTTATGGAAGCCTCCCAATCCCCTTGGGGTGAATCTTTCCAATGTGCTGTATGTACCCAGTATGGTGTTCCGGATCGAGACAAGCTCTCGTTATCCTCTTTTCTTTCAGCATTGTTCCAATCTAGGCCTTTGTAAATTCCTCTTGGGAGGTCCTTTAGCTTTATCCAAGCGTCGATAAAAGCTTCCAATTTCGACTCTCCAGGGATAGATAACCGAATACCTATAATCCATGAGTACTCGACTGGCCAACAAAGAGCCGACCGGATCATGTATTCAAGTTGGTTGTCTTCCATGCCATGAACCACCCTTAATGTCCGATTTTCTTTTCCGCTCCGGACATAGGTATGATACTCAATTCTGCTGACGCATGTGGTTGGAGCATGACCTAAAAGCCGACTCAGGTCTTTGCGAAAACTCCTTTTGGTGGTAGTGAGCGGACGTGGTTTTAGCGAGAGTGACTCTTTCTCGCATTGCCCTTCGGCTGTGTTGTCGCCATATTGGGGAAATATATGGCCCTCAAACTCTTCTGGAAGGCTTGCGACAATAGGCTTTTCCGTGACTTTGAGCCATTTATAGAGATTGGTAATTATCGCGAATTCGGTTTCCTTCGCTTCCGGAACCGCGTGACTGGTACTGACCACTGCAGGAGCCCGGGCCCATCCGTTTACAGAAGACAAGCTTTTACCAGTCGTATGGTTTCGTGCCAAAACATCAAGCCACTCGCGTAGGAACGTGGTATCTGGGATCTTTTCTTGGGGCTTCTGGACTTTCGCTGCCATCTTGTAGTTGCTAGGCAGAGCTTTCGCTTCAGGCTGATTGTATTGGCTTGATCGACAGTATTGCTTAAAAGGAACTAGGCATGCCTTAGAAATATTCGGAAAATCAAGTATTTGAGCTTCTCGGATTAATAAATTGCTTGGTTTGGCTGGGTGGAATAGGGATGGCTGGCAATGTGGAGATTATGTACTTGGAGAGAACTGGGAAACCTTTTTCCATTTAGTTTGAGGACCATTCAGGCTGCTCAAGTAGCAAATTGGATTGAACGGGTGCAAGCTGAGGGCTTTACCGCGTGTCTGCCTTGTGTCTGCCTTGTGTGTGGGTGCCTCGTTTGTCCACTAACCCTGGGGGGCAAGCGCAGTATCAGCTGATTGAATTTTCATTAAAGTCTAAGATGCTACTATTTCTATGATTTTCATGTTATCGGTCGTTACGTGTATGCAAAAAGCTCAGTCGCGCGGATTATGTCGTACATATATACCTGTTCGGCCGTGCTCTTCGATAAATATCTGGCTCTGCCTCTACCTGCGAACATTCAATGAGCATTTAATGAGCCTTAATGACCGACCCTGCTTACGCCGAGCACCGCAATATGTAGGGCAATTTCTTAGTAACATAACTCCACTTTCCATGTACATCAATTAAATCGTGACTACTCTGGTTAAAGACATGCTTAACGCAATGCAAGTTCCTTCGAAATTCGTCAGATTCCATCTCAAGCCTTTCGCAATGTCGTGAATAACCCGCTGTCAGTGATTACTTGAACCTGAAGATCAAATTCACTGAACTATGCCTAGAACAAATCAAGTGAATGAATAGAGAGTGGTGATGATATAAGACCTACATTGTCTAATAACTTTAGTTGAAGACACGGCATTCATGAAGTGCGCACAAACAAAACCGCCAAGAGTCCGATAAGTACAAACATACTAACCTAAGACATAATTGGATTACAGGGGATATTACGGAAAGGAGCGCCAAGAGCGCATCCAGCGGGAGCAGCGGAGTATCATCGCTCGCGAAGAACAAGAGGTTAGTACCGACTTCCAGCTCATAATCTCTACAGCGTGAGAATCACAAACCCCTTTCCCTCTGTTGTATTCCTGAAAACACTACGCTGACGGTGCATATTTTGTTGAAGAGGCAGGAACGCGAGCGGAAACAGCGAGCACGCACGCGTGAGATGAGGCACTGTGACGCCAGCGGTTCTATGAAATGACGCAGCAGATCTAGAGCCATCGTCGGAGTAAGCACTTCGTAGAATGAGAGCACAGAAAATCAAGTACATCAGACTTTAGATTGACTCCTGGTGTTACCATCTTGCGCACCTTGTCTTTGAGCATTTCCGAGCAAGCATAACTGATCATTGGAATTCATTTAGTAATGTCGTTAAATCATGAAGGATGTCTTCAAATCCAACATAGATTCAAATAGGAATTCTTAAACAACAACTCGTTTTCTAGGCACCTTGGGCCAAATAGGCTCGAAAAGCCAACAAGTCTCCATATGAAGATCTTCGCTCCAAGGTTGGGTACTATGGTTCAACCAATCGTTTCCAAACATACAGTCTTTTTTCGACAAAACAACATATTTGAACCCTAGATCGCTTGTACGCTGGTCGACTGTCAGACTGTGATGATCTCCATTAGCGCAACAATCTCCATGACGGGTTCTTGGAATGGTGCTTACGTTCGGCATCGGGAAAAGAAGCTGCGTGGGTCTTGGGTCATGGCAGACGGGTCATCGACGCTCTTGATTCTCGTCAGCGCGTACCAACCAGGGTCATTTCCCGGGCCCATCCACTCGATGTGGTGCTCCCAATACCCCTGCCGACGAAACAACTTTTCATAATCCTTTACTCTGGCGTCGTCGGTCCATTGAATACCCTTCTCCAGCTGCTTTGGAAGGTCCGTGAGAAAGAACGTAATCTCGCTGTATAAATAGGGGTCGTCTTCGTCGATCTCGCACCGAGCGTACAGCCTCCATTTGTACTTTGAAAGCCAGAGTCCTCCGCTGGTCCAGCCTGCCATGGAACTCGGTATTATTTGTTCGACCTCTCCCACGTCGAGCCCGTCGATTATGCGCAGTATGCGCTTCGTAGCGAGGTAGTAGTGGTGCTCGACCTTTTGAGCCGTGTAGCTAGGGAGCCATGCTGAGATCATGGCGATCAAGTCGTCGATGTTCATGCCGTCTTGGCCGTCCTCGGGCCGACGAAAGTTATAGTTGGAATCCCTTGGGTACGAAGGGAAGAACTCTCTTGGAATTCTTGAGACAGTGGTACGGTTGTGTCGAGCCCATTCCTTCAAGCCGTCGCACGCCCTTTTGTGATCCCGCCTAACCCATGCGTCTACGTCCAGCATAGGGGTGGGTTCCTTCTTGGCGAGCTTTGACAATGCGTCCGACGCTGTGAAGCAAATTTCGACAACTTTGCACCAGAACTGAACATAGACAGTGGGAAATGGAATGATTTGGGTATAATCCATCGAGGACAGCTCTCTGTTAATCCGATCTGCATCTTGAGTTGCAGCTCGCCGGGGCGCGTGGCGTGTCATCGCGGCTGACGTTTGAGAACGGTCTCGAATAGCATTATGAACAGTCAACTTCTTGAAGGGATGGATGCGAGCCCTTTTTATGTTTTTTCTTCGTACGTGTATTTAAGTCTTGCATTTTGGTAGGCTTGATTTAAACTGGAAATATTGGAAACGCCCGCAACCCGGATGACTATGGCGCTAGATATATCATCTGGCATTCATGCGGGAAGACGTTTTAAGCCTACGACAACAATATCAAGCCATTGCTAGCTTTTGGCACTTGTTGATGCTGTCGCTATATTATGGGGTATTTTACATTGACATCAGGGCCGTCACGAACCGGTTCGATCAATCATTTGCAGCCTATATCTCCCTTCTTGTTGAGCAAGTTGGACTCCACCCAGGACCTCGCGGAGGTTTCACCATGGGGAAAAGGCAGTAAATTCTCCCCATCATCTTAAGCAGTCAAATTTATCGCAGATTATTTACAGTCAAGGAACATTTTACCAACAAAATGAAAAAGCACCAAGATTTATAGAAGCACTGCAATGTCCAAGATCAATAGTCTCCGGCGACGGGCCGTGTAATACCTGGCATCGTGTCAATAACGACAAAACACCGTGTGGGGCACACGTTGACCCCCGAACCGGCCTCCGCCCGCACCTGCCCGGGCTGTGGCGCCGTTTGATTCGTCGCTGACCGGGCAGCGTGGCCCCGACGAGTCCGATGCGGAGTGATGTCAGTCGCACGTCCCTTCCCGTCTTCATCCACACTTGCTGATCTGACAAGCCAGACCACAGCTCATCACTTCAACGTCACACCTCTCACATCTCATCCACAAAAGGAACATCACGAAACATCCAGCGCCATGGGTTTGAAGGTAAGCACTGCCGGTAATGCTGCAATTCGCGGTGCTCACAACGGCAATTAGACACTTTCGGCAAAGGCGGCTGCAGCGCTGGACAAGGAGCTGATGAGCACTGGCGCGTTCTCCATCGACCAACTGATGGAGCTCGCTGGTCTTTCCGTCTCCCAAGCAGGTCAATCAACAGCCGCCCCTTGCCCGTCGTTGGGGACCAATTGCTGACGCCAAGCCCAGTCTACCGCGTGCACCCGCTCAGTAAGGGTCAGAATGTTCTTGTTGCCTGCGGGCCTGGCAACAACGGTAAGCGTCACCTGCACCTCACGCGTCCGCGATATAAGCTTATTTCGCATCATAGGTGGTGATGGTCTAGTCGCCGCCCGTCACCTTCGTCACTACGGCTACAAACCCAGCATTTACTACCCCAAGCGGAGTAAGAATGAACTGTACCAAGTGAGTGAGGATGTATCTACCTTTTGTCTATCTCGTCATTATGAGTCGTGGATGCATAATACATTGGGGGGCAAGTGCTCCTTCTGAGAACAGTGCCAATACTCTATCAGCGACAGTCCTCGTCGTCGAGTCTTTTCCACATCGCACATGATTTAAAATGCTTGTGTTTTTGCGAGAATCTCTTCCACCTACGCTTCGCTATGCAAAGTCGCACAAACCTTTCGTTGTGCTCGCTCCTCCCCCCGAGAAAGAAAACGGCGGCATAGTTTGCGTGTATATCATGCTGCCCGTACAATCGAATTCCCCAGAAACGTTCTGTCGGGGGGCTTGCCGTACATCGAATTGGGGCTAATCGTTTTCTCAGCGACTGGCGCAGCAGCTGGAGGACTTGAACGTCCCATTTGTGGACGACTTTCCCACGGCCCTAAAGTCGACGGACCATATCGTGGATGCCATCTTCGGTTCGTTCAAGAAGTGCTCTTTCTACTGTTGGCTGTCGTTCCGCGCGCCTAACGTCGTGATCTCAGGATTCAGCTTCTCTGGCGAGGTCCGGGAGCCCTTCCCGGCGGTGATCAAGGCGCTCGAGGAGACGAAACTGCCCGTAACTTCAGTTGACGCCCCATCATCATGGAATATCGAGGATGGCCCGCCATCGTCTGGCCTCGGCAGCTCTTTTCACCCTGAGGTACTCGTCAGCCTGACAGCACCTAAGCCTTTGGTGAAGCATTTCAAAGGACGACACTTTGTCGGAGGAAGGCATGTCCCCGCTTGAGAACCCCGAAAACTAGGAAACTTTTCGCAGGCTAACCTTGGGAGCAGATTCGTTTCGCCAGGTATTGCTGAAAAATACAACCTGGACCTTCCACAGTATGAAGGCATCGACCAGGTGGTAGAAGTGGACAATAACGGTCAGAAGCTGTAAATGAGGTTAGTTTTACCAAAATTTGGGACATTTCTCCCGGTGATTTTGACAAAGACTCAGGGTTGCTTACTTTTAGTTTCTTGTCGTCCAGGGGTAGTTGTCTAAATGACCAGACAGCCTCCCACTCGGCTATTTGGACAGACAGGACTTGGACATCGACCGTCGAGCATCTGCATTGGGCGAACTACAAGACCCTTGGGACACTCCAGAAGGGGAGGATGGTACTCGTGGCAGAAGGCGACATAGACGAGGTATAGTCTCCGACAGACTGGACAAACAGACTTGTGCTCAACGCACATGAAAGCCGAATGAAAAAGATTTCGCGCTTCTAGGAAAGCGTCGTTTTTCGGTGATGGTAGTACGTGGTGAAGGTGATGAAAACGCGGGTAGTCGTTCTGTGTGCTCGGAAGAGGGCAACATGGAAGTGTTACTATTCCTCGTCAAGGCAATGGACAACAAAGCGGATGACAATAGGCGGAGGGACCACCGGGCTTGGTGCTGCTGCTGCTGCTGCTGCTGTTGCTGCTGGCGACTGTTGTGCCAGACTGGCGGCCCAAGTGTGGCTGATATAAAGAGCAGATGTGGCTGCTGCCCCCCGGCGAATATGCCGGTCATCCAATGGGACTGCAGAATTTGTGAAAGAATCGCCACACGGTCGGTTCCACAGGGACCCTTGCCAGGGCCGGAGCGTTTTTAACGACAGACGTTGTGACGAGGGTGCCGGAGGATCTTTTTTTGGTTGGTAGATGCGGACTGGGGGGGACCGTTGACGTTGGACGAGGGGGGGTTCAAGGGTGTGTGTGGTGAGGCGTGAGCCACTGAAGAAAGCCTGGGCCAAGCGTACGTATGAGCAACGGGCTTCCGGGAGGGCTAGGGGGTAGCGGCGGGGTGGTTAAAAACCAAGGGAAAAAGAGAGAGGTGATAGGGGCGAAAAGTGAGGGAAGGGAAAAGAAGGGGGAAAGGATGGGAGAAAGGTAAAAGGGACCCAAGGCGACTCGAAACGACGTGAAGTGACGGGAAGGGTCTAAGGAAGGGGCTTTCCGAGGGGGCAGGGCAGAGAGGAAGAGTTGAGGGTGAGCGAGAGAGAGAGAGAGCAGTGAGGTGGATAACAAGCCAACGCAACGGCGCGGAACAGAGCGACAGAGAGCGAGGCAGAGTCTAAAGAGACTGATGAATAAGAATTTTGATTTGTCTAGTTGGGTATATATTTTGGTGCGTCCCATATCCCATTCTTTTTTACGACAATCCCAGTCCGCGACTCCCCTCCCTTCAAGCCGGATGGACAGGCCAGGTAAGAAGGTAGAGGGTACGGGAGGGACAGCACGAGGTACTCAAGGTACAGAGTACATGGAGTAACAGTGAGTTTAGTCAGGCAAAAGGCAAGGACAGACAGGGTACAACAGTGTTAGGTGTGTCGAACAGCAGTGAGTAGGTACGGTCCCGAGGTAAGGTAGAGAAGGGCAGAATTCCCCCATCCCCCATCTGCAATCCCCAGGCCCAGGGACTGAGGGATTCCAGGCTGGGCTTGGGAGGGAATCAGGGACTCAGGGACTCAGGGACTCAGGGAAGGCCTGGACTGGCCACCACCACCACCACCACCACCCACCAGGAGAGGTAAGGTTCCTACGGGTACACAGAGCAAAGCCACAATCAGTGGCCTCCAATTGCCCAATGCTCTCCAACAGGAGGGGAACTGAGCTGGTGAGGGCACCGAGTGGAGGGACCGGAGGGACTGGAGGGCGGGCTCAGGGAAGTTATTTGATGGGGCAGCTCTCCAACTCCAACAGCTTGAAGCAGAAGACGAAGGCCGGGAAGTCCCCATTTGGAGCCTTGGGGGCCCTACCGGAGCAAATGCTCCTTGTTCCCCTGTGATAGGCCCGAGCGGCAAGGCAGCGCTTACGGGGCCGCATGGAGCACTGCGTGGCACTACCGAACGAAACCCGCTTTTATTTCTCTGTCGAACTCGAACGGAATCCACCGTCAAGCAGAGGACAAGCCACCCGTTTTTCGCAGTGCAGTTGGGGTGAGGTGCTGCTGCCGTTCCGTGGCCAGTGTCAAGCGTGTGGAGAGTGGTGTCACTCGGTGCCATGAATGGGTGGCAGGTGCAGGTGGCGCTACCTTACTGACGGGAAGGAAAGAATGAGATGCGCCGGTTCAACGCTACTGCCTATTGTATTTGCCCGGAACAATGGTCTTGCCATGAGGGCACCTTCCATTGCGCTTGCCGTCAGCTAAGCATGTACCGTGTCGGGATCGTTGCATTGTTCTTTCCCAATTGGAGAAAGGAACCAGCCCGCCTCGGTCTTGCCCACGAAGCAATTGTGATGGCAACAGAGGGAAGGCACGGTTGGGCTACCCATCGCCTGCCCGAGGAAAGAAGCCAGCCGTGCCGTACTTGTAGAATGGAAGGAAGGGTCCAACAGGGATTCAATGCGAAAGTAGCAGGTACATGTGCCATATTCGTCCGTCGCGCCTTCCTCTTCCTCTCAACTGCGGAGTACGTATCCCGCAACTGCCCACCCCGAGATTCCCATCTGATCAGCTTCCGCGTGCCGTGCCTGACTGTTCCCGGCCTTCCTTACCTCACCCTGCTTGCCCGCCACGCCTCGTCCGGTCAACCTTCCCTCCACCTTGAGGTCCTGTCTTCGTTCTCATCATACTTCACCGCACGTCTTCGACAGCTTTCCCCGTCAACCAACAACGCCAGCGGGGTCGAAACTTGTCGCTTCGCTCTGTCCGCTTGCTATTATCCTCCTGCCCTCTCAGCAAGGCCCATTCACAGACGAGTCGTGCTCCTCTGCTCGGTTTCCGACCCCCGGGGCACTCCGTTTTGAGGTTCCAATCCCCGTGTCGGAGAAAAAAAAAGGGCTTACCTTCGTCAGTTCAGGACGATTAGCTCCGGGCCGCCAGGGCAGGGAGACAGGGCATCAGGGCAAAAAAGTGGCGGAGAACACACGACGACGAGCTCGATATCGCAATTCAACCCGAAAATCCCATCCGGCCCGCGCGGCCTTCGATGTACCAGCCTATCCTACCGCCTTGTCGCATTTCGCCTGTCAATCCGTCAGCTCCCTCCCCCTGCCCTGTCGCTTCCTCATGAGCCAACCCAGTCTGTAGGTGCAAACACCACGTCATAGACAACCACAAGCTACACCACAGCTTCAGCTCCGAGGGATGGCAACAACGAGCCCCTCCTGGCACGGTTGGAGTCAGGACCTGAAGCTCAAATTTTCCGACAAGAACAAAATCACAAAGTTCTCGAACCGTCACCGCCTCAATTGGATCATGTTGGCCTCTACTCGGCATGTGACGACGTCAAGAGGAGCGAGTCCAGCTTCATCGGGCGTTCCCAACACAGCCAACAATGAAGGCACCATGCCATTGACGCAAATGGCGTGGGGCTGCACAAGGCAGTCGTGCTGGGAGTCCCTCGCCTGAGGAACATGAATATTCACATCAACGTCAAACAAGGAGAGAGAGCTACAGGCCACAAAGTGCACGAAACTTCTGGTGGCTTCGAGAAAGCAAAATGGGCGCGTCTGGACCATGTGGCGGCCCTGGACGGGAATGCCCTCTTGGCCTCCCGCCAGGAGGAAGCTAAAGCAGCCTTGGTGGCGAATCACCTCCCATTGGCCCCCACCAACTTGAGGCTCATTTCCTGGCTACTGCCCGCGTATGTGGCAGCTGGCGCACGACGGTCGCTGAGGCCATGCGCACTGCAGCCATTGGACGAGCCCGGCAGCCACAGTTGCCGTGATTGTGGCCCGTCAAACTCTGCGATCTCCCTCACAAGACCCTCAGTCAGGGATCCCGCCGCTTCCTGGAGAAACCTCCCCACGCTGTTCCGTCCCAACCACGATTCATTGGTGCTTCATCAACACCTAGCTCCCGAATCGCTGTGTCATTGGTTACGCGCATCCGTGGAGAACACTTCTGTGCAATGCCTCGTCCACACTGTGCTTGGCGGTCAGCAGCTCGGCATCAGATTGCAGCCAGTCGCATATTGGCCTAGATTGTGAAATTCGTCGGAAGAACGCCTCGGCATGGCGGCCGTCACCAATGCCATGTTACGGTGTGCATTTCTTTGCTGCAAGCTTCGTAATCCCGCACTGCATTTTGAAGCATTCCGTCCGCTTCAGATACCACTAGGTGGTTGTAGGTCACCACGAGGGTCAACGTGGCGGATAAGGGTCCCTTCCGACCAGATTCGGCGGATTTTGGCCTTTCACGCAGGGATCTAACAAGGGCCCAACATAATGATGGGAGATAGCTGATGAGGCCCCGAGTGGGTATTCCAATCAAGCTGGTGAACGTGACCGGAGGGCCTCCGGTGGTCCCAGAAGGGCGGATAACGATTTGGGTTCAAGATACGGAGTATCGACGTTCAAACGAGATGCAACCGCTGCAGCGAAGCGGGCAGGCAGTATGAGCAGGGTATCGCAGTTCAGCATCTTCTTGCGTGCTACAACCGCTTAACGAAAATGGTCCAAATACCCCGGCATCCTCCCCGCCAGCTCGACCCTCGCACCCGGTCCATCATCATCTTCCCTGGAGAAACACCTCCGCCGTCAGCTCCTCGTCTCGACTCACGTCATCATGGATGGCAGTGGGCACACGAATCTGACCGTCACGGCTCGCATACCCGCTGTCGACACCCAACGAGATTGAGTTTTATCGTCCCAGCCGTCCCGGCCGTGTTTTGACTACAACGACACACCCCGGCCGAATACGCCCATGGGCCTCACGCCCGAGTCGTGCTGAAGTTTTCGAGATACAGCCATCAGTTTCTGCATGTAATTCTGTCTGTGTGTGTTGTTCTGATAACCGACAGTTGGCTCTGGCCCCACACCGAACCCCGCCTACACAACAAAAGGGGGCTTTGGTCTCCTGCAACGCAAGGAGTTTTTGCTGCATCCTCATCCTTTCTCATGTTGGGCCGCGACCATGTGCCTTGGCTTTTGACCAGCGGCGTTCTAGGAATACTGGATGCCGGGCAATTCTCTCCTGTGCCGCTCTACGACACAACGCCGCTTTGTCCGTACCGGCGACACCTCAACACGGGCTCCCGGATCCCAGTCATCCTACCGACAGCAGCAGATATCAATGGTCCGTGTCTCGGAGCTGGCTCCGTCCCGACGGCCTCGCATGAAAATCAGTGCCCTTCTTGGAGACACCGTCTGCCATCCCACGGAAGCCTCAGCGACGGTGACCACTGAATAAGCCAATCTTTTTGCGACTCGTCTAGATGATTCTAGAGGTGAGAGTTTCGGGCAAACCGTGCTGATCCTTGCCGCTTGGGGTAACGCACGGCGATGGTATCGCAATAAAATTTTGATGGTCGCATGCCACCCTTTGCCCCTGCGGCAGCTGCATAGCCCCCTCCGACGCTTCCAAGGTTTGAGGGCATTCGCACATTCGTCCAACCGGTGGTATTGCACCACTCCGCTACAAGTGCTCCGGCCGGAAGCCATCTTACGGCCGACGGCTACGCACGTCTTCCGTGCTAATCAGTGGGCGCACCTCACCACGAGGATCATCAGTGACCAAAAATGCAGATTTCACGATAATCGTTTGCCGTTGTCGCCTGATTGAATCGGGAGCGATGGCACTCGGCCGGGTGTTTCGCGAAGATTCCAGCAATTTGGGGATCGGGTGGGGCGGGGTTTTGGGTTTGCGTCAGACAAGACGCGCCGGGGCTGCAACAACCCCGATTTCGGTTCCTGACATGCATGCGATCATCGTCAGTGACTTTTGCCAGCCGTAAGTGAGGGGTCCTGAGTTAGTTTTGACAACGAACAATGGTTTTGACGGTTCTCCGCATGGCATTGCTTATTCTATCTCAACTCAGCGGCAGAGCGGCCCGAGCGATACCTCCACGATGTACTACGGTGTACAAGTACAGCCTCGTACTTTGTCTTCCAACTTGCAGGCCTCGGTATCGGCCAAACCGTTCTATCCATGCTCCCATGACGTTGAATGGCCACATTTTGCCTGCCGGTGATGTTCAACTGCATGAACGGATACTGAGGCTGGGCCATCTCTCAATTTGGATATCGTGCACATATGTTACAGGCCTTATCTCTCACCAACTGGGACAGGCTTCATTCTTCTCCTAGGCAAGTTTAGCCCAATGACTCCGCCGTAGCTAGGTAGTCTCCATTCGATGGCAAAACATTTATAATAGAACAACACCTATCAAGTTTCGCAATGTTTCTTTAGCAACAACTGGCAAAGAGCCGCGTCACTTCATCACGAAAGCAGTGGCGGATATTCCGTCAGCCGAAGCTGCGATTCGATTCTCTCTGACTACGTCCTTCGCGAGGAATAACTTCAATGGTCCATCTCCAGACATGACACCGCCTCCGGGCTCCGCCGTGTGATTCACCACCATCATCGCCGCCGCTGCTGCTTCCTCGGCCCCGTTGGAAAGATCCTTCCAGACCCGACGACAACCTTCTCGCATGTGTCTCAACTCTCTTCCGGAGCATCCGTAGGCTGGCGAGGTACCGCTCGCATCGTCGCGTAGTGCTGACCAGGCTGTCGTGGGAGAAGCTGCTCCGTTGCCATGGCGGGACGACGAAGGGGGCGCCGGCGGGGAGGGCGTGGTAGGGTCCGACGCGCGTCAGGCAGGGCATGCAGCTGCCTGGGAGTATGTAGGTCGTGATGGAGTTTGTGTGGTTTAAGTGGCAGACTTGGGCGGTGGGCGTGAGTGGGCAGGTGTGGCGGTTGGTGGAGGTGATGGCGTTGCAGGAGGGGCATTTGAGGATGTGGATTGTGCACATTGTGGCGATGGCGAGGGAGGTTTGGTGGGATTGAGAGAAGGATACGTGGTGTTTGGTTATTGGGTGGAGAGTTGTATGCTCTTATGGAGGTGAGAAGGTAGTTGGTGATCGAGACGTTGTGGTGAACTGGAAGGTAGGCTGGAAGGTTGTGGTTGAGTGAATGAGTTGCTTGAGTTGGGATGAAGTTGGTGATGATCAGGTTTGAGTGTCAGCTCGTGAAGGGTCACAGAACTGTTGACGGGCGTCGAGGGAAGGTGCGATGGAAGACATTCGCACCTGCCTCGTTAAACGATGACTGTTCTCGAGATGAGGTCAGTTGCGTTTCGAGCTGTTCTTGTCCAACGTTTGGATGAAGCTCAGTTGTGACTTGGAAGAAGTAGAGGTGATTTCGTTACTCTGGCATGTCCTCAAGTCAGCGAACAGGAAATGTAAGTAGCTTCAGTACGAAGCCTTTCGATTTGACTGTAAGACGCTAGCATAGCAGTTTGATATGCTAGCTTTTATCGTTGCTGCCTCTCTACTATGCTAAGCACGTTAAATAGCAGGTGTATTTCTTCGTTTTAAAACTCCTAGAGACTTTAAACTGTAGTATTAGCATCGACTTTCATAGAGACACATCTGTGCCGTGTGAGGAATGTACAAGCTGAGGAAATGCGGGCAAAGAGTCTAGGCGACGCAGAGGAGGACTTTCGAAATAGAGACGACAAGAGCAGAACTAGTAGCAGACACTACACTAAAATTATAAAAGACATAGTCTCAGCGTTATAGGAAACTTACCTAGCTTCTTGCCTTTTAAAAGGGATATTGAAGTAGATCTATTACCTTGAGTCAGTGGACCAAATGAGAGGCGTCTCCGTATAGTGTATCCGGTCTTGGGCTCAGATTTGTCTCGTTTTTCAACGGCATTTACTCAAGAATCAACCAGGATTTTGTTAACCGAGTAATGAGGCAAGGAGCGGAGGCCCTTGCAGTTCGTCACAAGAACAGTCTGTGCAATTGGGGCGAGTGCATACCAACAATCAATTTATCCATGGAACAGACGTGATATCTTTGCTAGACTTCACGGCACACAACATTACATTGCGCCTAAATGAGGGTCTTCATCCCTATTCACAAGAAGATGTCCTTTGATTGCTCGGAAATCCACGAACAAAATCTATCCGTCAATACTCGGATGAGCCGCCGGTGCCTCACGCTCCCGGCCACATCGTCAAGACTTTGGACACGATCACTTATGCTGTAGACTTGCTTAGCGAAAAGGTATGTATTGCAGACTTTGTCCAATCAATCACCACAACAACGCCGCCAAGATAACCGGAAACACCAGCGATGTATCTCGCGCCTAAAATCGCTGTTGGACATCAGATAAATACCGCTTGCGATGTCTGGGCCTTTGGTTGCATGATTTTTGGTGCTCTCTGTGGAGACGATCTCCTTTTCGACAGTGATGATTTCGGTCGGCAGGTTATCTTGGGAAATATTGTCTCGACAAGGGGCGAAATGCCTGAAAAGTGGAAGCATACACGGTTTGAATAGGATGGGAAGCCGACAGAAGACGACTTGCCAGCCATGGAACCCTTTTCTGATGAATACATGGCAATGCTGTGGAAGTCCACGGCTGTGTGCGTTGCGGGGAAGTGCTTTGCCGCCTATACGGAGGTTCCATACGAGCTTTGGATCCAGGATTCCGGAGGATGAGGTGACGGCATTGTTTGACCTGCTACTCAATATTTTTGGGTATGATCCCTCAAAGCGGGTGACTGATGGGGCTGTCCTGGGCCATCCATGGTTGGATTTTGCTGAAACTGACAAGTGAAATAAAAGAGAAGGAACTTGCAGCAGCGTGTTCCACCCAGAGACGTGTTCTGCATGACTACACAAATCACTGCAACGATCTCTGCTTTTTCTTAATACAGCTTATCAAGTAAGATACTTGTTTACAACCCTTTTGATAGATTTGACTGCGCATCCAGTTACCGATGGACACGCTGAATCCGTACCGAGGTGATTGAAACTATGCACGGTTGTAACCGACGGAGTTCTATTGAGTAGCAGGCGTCAACCAACCTCCCGGCGGCTAACCGCAAGTTCCGCTGAGAGCCGGATGTGAACTAAGATCCGATCAAGTGTCCCAAAACTAGTTCTGATCTACGCTCGGGCCCACCGTTCGCCAGCGCCGTTTTTGGGGGAAGCTAATCCCGGCACCGACCTTTAACCTCCGGACCCACTCGGATGTAGCGTCCGTGTCACGATCCGACTCGGAACTTGACTTACAACATCGGATTCAAGGACGAGAGTTCGTGGAGGTTTGACAGCCGACAGTTTGCGTCCGCATTAGTTCAAAATACATATAAGGCTGCTGGGGAATGCGTATTTCAAAAACGGCATCACCATCAGCAACTCAACTCATTCACCACACCCTCTCCAGAAAACCCATCACGTCTGCCCATCATGTCTTTCGACCTCAGCAAGCCAAACCGCAAGATCCACGCCGGAGTAATCTTGACCAAGGGGTATGAGTTCAAGTTCCTTTGTCTGGAATCAACTGACGTGGCCACAGCATCACTGAGATGCTCGATGTAGCTCCCTTCGAATTCTTCCACTGCTTCCAGTGGAGCGGGGACAAGGAGACTGCAGCCGCTATGAACATTCCTGAGAATACGATGGACAACGGACTCGAATTTGAGTTGCACTGGGTCACTGAAGATGGCAAGCCGGCTAAACTGGCGAGCAATGCTCAGATCCTGCCCACTGTAAGTCCGAGCGAGCCCCACCAGATGTCGTCGCAATCCAGCTAACAATGTGAAGGACTCCTTTGAGTCTTGCCCGCCGCTTGACATTGCTCTCATGGGTGCTCATGACTTCAAGTACAAGACAAGCCCCGCCGAGATTGACTTCATCCGCAAGACTTTTGAGCAGTGCAGCGCATTCCTCACCATCTGCGGCGGCATGGTGCCTCTGCTTGAGGCTGGCATCCTCGCTGGCAAGACATCCACATGTCCTCGTATGATGTTCGATTTGATGAAGAAGACTGTGCCGGTGGTCAATTGGGTTGACAAGCGCTGGGCCCGGGATGGCAAGCTGTGGACGTCTAGCACCCTACTCAACGGTACGGACTTGATTCGCGCTTTCGCCACGGAGACTTGGGGTGAAAGAACGGGAATGATTGAGTTCTTCCTTGATGCGGGGCACTATCCTGATAGAGATGTTGACTTCAAGGACTTCAAGGGGCAGAATTATCAGATGGAGCAGCTTCCAGCCTGAGGCAGTCATTCCATCAAAACTGTCGAGGGGTTTTGAAGTTTGGAAAATGTACTTCTAATTGCACAATAACAGTCTGTCTGTCAGGGAGTCCTTATCTTGTCACTCTTGCTTTAAATAGTCAAGTTTGTTCGTTATGTCCTCCACTTTCGTGTTCAAAACTTTTCCCTCAAAATCACGAGGCAAGTCATCCCAATGACCCCACCAACAGCTCCGGAACTCAGAGACGGGGTTTTCCATTCGAGCGGGTGTTATTAATGGACGAAGACAGATAGTGAAGATGATTGAGAGACGAAAATGATGTTTTTTAGCAAGATTATAAGAGCGAAATAATAGCTACCTTCCTTCCACACGCAGTCTTCCGCCCAAACAGCCAAAAGCAACCGTTCGGCTGGTAAACCTCTGGGAGATCTGTGCCACTTCAGACTTTTCGCTCTTGAGTCACGAAACGATAAAGCTCAGCTTACGAAGTAGTCAACAATCTTCTAGCGACTTTCCCCTAGTGAGCAAATCATTCACCCCTGTTAATTTGCCTCTCCAGCTTTTGCCCCTTTGTAACGATCACGAAAAGTAAGGGAAACCCTCCCAAATGAGGCCCTGTCAACTGTGCCGCCATTCTTTTTCGAACTTTCATCTAATATTTAAGTTGCGAAAACATGCTTCTCTGCGTCGGTAAATGGGCGTCAGAGGCACTCCTTGCGATGTGTTTGGTGTTGCAAGCAGTGCCTTTCATTCATGCCTAGGGTAGAAGATGAGGAATTGGAATTTCACAAATACAAAATGCGCATGTTTTCATTCTGATGTGTACCAACCAATCAAATCAAGAGTCGCTTCGATCGCCCGCAGAACATGCCGTGATATCGTTGGCTCAGCTGTGCCAACCTCCGGCAATCCCACCTTTAAACATTGGCCGATTGGCTTGGGACACAGCCACCTGATAGTTAGGCATCTTTCCACGGCCTGCTTCTAACAAAATCAGTCACTCCTCCGCCCAAAAAATTCAATCTCCCCAAGATTGTGACCATTTTCATAGAACCATTCATTTCAGAGCGCTGCGTGTGTTAAGTGCCATGACGAACGTGTTCTCTTATCCTTTGTCCGAACGTCGGGAACGAACCCATCATTCAGACTTGAAAGATGACGCCGTGGGTCAAGAAGGTGATCCTTCATCAGGTAGTCTCAGCACACTCAAATCAAGCTCGCCAACCGAAGTGGGATCAACATCCGGTCGTGTCAAATCATCTTGGACAGTTTCGCTTGAACGGAAGCTCGCGAGGCTTTACCTTTACACGACACTTTCAATTCCTACGATATGAGAGATCTTACGAGGCAAGGATGGATTCAAACCGTACGTACCCCCCATAAATCAGGGCTTTGCCACAGAGTTCTCAATCAAGTGTTCCATTCATCAGAAGCAACGATCTTGCACAAAACAAGCTCAACGCGATGCTACACGTAGACGAGAACCCCGGATGACTACAGCCTCGGAGCCGACGAGATGCTGAAAGACGACTTAAAATGCTACACAGGCGACTTTTCGCAGTGCAAGAGGGCAACTTAGACCTTCCTAAGGACGAAGACGCGGCCAAGTCACCTGAATATTTCCCGCGTCGGGCCCCTTCACTCTTGCCTCGAATGAAGCTTGAAGACGAGGGTACGAAGTCGCTGCAAACTGTCACCCCCAAGACGCAAACGATCCCGACGAGAACGCAAGAACTTCTTCAGTTAAACTACGGGATGCATAGGCAAGGTGGGATTGAACTCGAGTTCATTCTCAGGGAACTATCCATGGATGACACGATCAAGTCTTCAGATGCACACGACGGTTCAGCTCTGGATGTTCTCAAGTTTGAAAATGATAAAGCTGATGCTTGTGCTCGGCGTACACACAGGTCAATTATGGCTTCTGATATGCTTGTGATTGATCTTTTTTTGGAAAGACCACGGGATATGCATGGAAGGCACAGAAGCTCACGACTACCACGACTGCTTGTGCAGCATGTATGAGAAAGACATTGACAAGCGACTCATATGGGCTACTCCCAATGGACTTTTAACCCAGTCAGAAAGGATTCTAAGGTTTGGGCCAATCTTCAAAAACGATCTCACCTACTGCGATTGCTTTGGAAACACAATACTGCACTTTTTGGCCGCCCGAGCGCATCCAATGCTCCTTCTTAGGGCGTTGATGGAACATCATGAACTGGCCCGGTGTCTCAATACCTCCGGCGAGACATTTCTCCACTGTCTCGCCGAAGAATGGTATTTGGGCGACGCGATTTACCTTCGTGTGCTGCTTCGCCATCTCGCTTTCGATGACGGTCCCGACAAGTTTAATGTGTTCTCGAAAGACGTCTACGGTAGAAGCGTTTTTCATCTGATGACTGAGTCGATATCAAACCAGAAAACACTTTCTGAGTTGATGGAGCCGTTTGATCGTCATGCCTATATGACAAGAGATGCGTTTGGTGTGATACCGGGAGAAATTCGAGCGCAGACAACATCCCAGAGCCCAAAGAACAAGATCGACATGGCCTTGGTGATCGAAAACCAGGCCCAATTGCTGCACACTATCAACCGCGCCTATCACGACAACAAGGCTGAGCATGACGGCGGTAGAAACGCCCTGCACTGCATCGCCTCCGTTGTTCTTTCTCAAGACTCGCTCTTGGCATTCAACAACATACCCAATCTTTCGGCGGAACATCCAGACCTATTGGCGACCAATAGTCAAGTAGGCGAGAAGTCTACTCAAAAGCAAAAGGAGCTTGACTCCTTGGCAAAGTTTTACAAACAGAGAGAAGACGTCGTGCTTGATCTGATAGGAATTGGAGTCAATGTCAATGCGTATGATGCAGCTGGAAATACTGTATTAATGCATTTCGTTACGCATCTGTCGGAGGATTATGATCGGAAAACCTCAATCAATATTATTGACCAGATTCTCGAGTCAGGGGCCGCCATACAGGCCCGAAATCGTACTGGCGAAACAGCTCTGCATGTAGCGGTCCGACATGGCAGAAAGCTAGCGATGATGGCGCTGGTTCTCAAAGGTGCCAACGTCCACGCAAGAGATAAAAATGGCCGGACACCCCTCAGAACCTTGGCCTATGAGATTCAAAAACCAGGCAACGACTCTGCGACCTATGCACATTTGGAAGCATGCTTTGCCTGGCTGTCGGGCCAAGCGGAAGCAAAACTGCGCTCATCCGTATTGGATGAGTGGGGTTGGTCTGGCTTACCAGCCTTACCAGCTAGGCGGGGGACTGGTCTCAGTGAGTCCGGGAGGACGGATTTTACCAGATATGAAGAACAGGTTCTGGGAATAGACAGAATAGGCTTGACCAGTCTCGACGAGTGTTACGAAGAGTCGCATGTCAACTCGGTGATCAACTGTCATGCGAGAGACGGAAAGAGTCAGAGGGTCATCAAGCGGCTGCGCGATGTTCTAGAAGAGGAACAGGACAAGGAGTTCAGCAAGATGAAATGGAAACAACAAGAAAGTCTTGGTAAGATAGAAGTGGTGAAGAAGCGGACTCAGACATATGAGGACGAGTAAGTCATCTTTGAATACCGGTTTATTCTTTGGTATCCAAGTATCACACTGAAACCATGATAGGCGTTCAACACTCAAACAGCCCTCAATGATGGTAAAGATTGAGCAAAGTGAGGAAACTGCGAACTCCTCTACCGCCTCGATTCGCGACAACAATCCTTCAATCGACGATATGTGTGGTGCTTTCAACATATCTATCAGTCAGGTTTTCCGTCCTGAAGAGGCATGGCAAAGCGTACGAAGGTGCCTAAATGAACTTGAGGTCATTGCTTTACTTCCACGTAAGAATTCTTCCGGTTTAACGGAAGGTCATTGTCAAGTTGCCAACAATGGTTCCAACGATCATTCAAAAGACTCAAACATCGAGCAAGAGGCCAGTGGTAGTTCTCACCTCCCAGATGGTGGACACTCCGGTATCGACAGGGATAGAAAGCGACGGCGGTCAGATGCATCAGGCAGCCTCTCGCGAAAGAGAGACGATAATAATGATGAGAGGAATGACGGCAACGGCTCGGAGAATGGGCCGAAGAAGCGCAATAAAGGCAAAACTAAGGGGCGCTACACTTGCCCCTATCGAAAGCGCAACCCGATAACGTTCAATGTTCGTGAACACCAAAGCTGCGCGCTTGTTGCGTTTGATTCAATATCTTTGGTCAAGTAAGTCATTTTCAAAATTGACAAGATACATAGACACTTCTGATACTGCAAAAAGACGCCATGTTGGATTATTCCACAGAAAAGCGTCAGCAAAGCCATTGGTTTGCCGGCGATGCCAAGAAAACTTTCCGACGTCCAAAGCCCTTGATGATCATCTTCGAGTGTCACTCGATCGGATGTGCGCGACGCGTGATGCGCAGGGACCTTACAATAGCGCCCATCATGACCCCGAAGATGGTATCACTACGGAAATCGAAATCAAATTGGCGGATCGAAAATCGCGGACACAGGTATTAGACTGGTCAAAGCTTTGGAAGGTTTTATTTCCTGAAGATGATAGGATTCTTCCTGAAGGTATGTTGAATTTCCCAACGACCCTTTAGCGGCTAACAAGCAGTAGAATTCGAGCCTGTGGTCGAGCTTGATGAGGTGAAGCGGGCTTTTGCCGATGATTTTGAGAGGTGTCAAAGTCTTGTGCATGATCTGAGTAGTAAGATCTGCCGATGCGCTGGCTTTGATATCAGCTCGAAACCGGGTGAAAGATTTTGGAGGCTACTTCAGTCATTTGTTGATGGCAATTTACAAAGGAGCAACATAGAAATGGCTTGTGCCCGCTTTCGTAACTCCAATCTCCCAGGATACCTCATGAACACTGACAATGAGATCGGTTCAAGCACAGGCAACACTGGAAGCAGCAGTCAGTTGTCCAGACTTCTTTTGCCGACGCCGCAGTCTGCACCTGGAAACAAACCTCCCCCAAGAAACATTTCCAGTGCACTGTAAAAGTTCGGTTTGCAAAGCGAAACAATCCCTCGGTCGTACGATCAGCCCACACAAATGACGGAAGACGCTATGTCGAACGATAACTTGGTTTCCTCTGACGTATGGAGAAGCACTGAGCAAATTCCATGCGCGAATGAAGTTACGGACGCGCTTGATCTACGGCAACCTTGTTCTGGGGTTTGCTTCACGAAACCCTGTTCCTGCGATGCACTCTTGGACTGGAACACTTATCCGTGGACCTAAAAAGTGACCGATATAAGTCGGTGGGGGGATCTTCATCACGTGGGCATACCTTAAGGCACTAAATACACGCCAATACAAAACTCAGAGATCAAAATGCTAGAGTTTAGCTACCTGTCGGGGTTGGGCATCAGCAGAGCACAGATCGATTAGCTAGATAACGAGGTCGTGTTTAATGCCCGGTTTGGTAAATGAGCAGTGTCATGCAACTATCACCAGCAATCAAGCTAATGCTCGTTTTATTCGTCTCCTTGGGTCTTAAACTCGTTGGTGTAACATTCAGAACCTTTACAGATTATGCGCAGTTCCACTGTTGCAACATCCTATCAACCTCGCTTCTTCCATTCAATTGACATGACTTACTTCGTTATGCTAGGTTAAGACGTAAAAAGTGTCGTCTTTATTATCTGTCATAAGAAATCTCTAAGAGATCAGATAGCCGAGCCGAGCAATGCATTGCCGATGGATCCTTGTCATTATCATTTGCTACATAGTTCCTGTATGGCTTACTGTCAATCTTCATCCTACCACTCCAGATAGCAGTAGTATCCACCTGAACTGCGAAATTGTACACAAGGACTTGACGCGCAGCATGAAAGAAAGTTGGAATGTATTCAAATATACATCTATTCTGAGCTGACGCCAATCACCATCAATTCGACAGTGTGCATCGCGAAATACCAGCGACCCTATTCGGACGCTGATGTAACCCGAATTCTAAGGCATGATTCTCCCCATAGCTTGTAAATCCAAGAGACATCTGCCTCTTGGTGTTGGGAAGGCAATGAGCCTAGCAACTTGCACACTCAGCGACTCCTCGAAAGAAACATGAACCGTCGCCCCTGAAGCGTATTCCTCGCCACAGGCTGCGGCTCCTTGATCTCATCGATGGTATCAAACGATGCCACAGACTGCCTTGTGTCCCACCGCTCCAGATCTGGCCCGTTCCTCCTTGCGGCATCAGCCTTCTTCTTCTTGCGGTGCTCTGAAAAGGCGATCAACGAGATGCCGACGAGCAGGAGGAGTGCCACAACAATGGCAATAGCTGTCGTCGCCGGGCCGCCCATGCGCATGTCGGAGCCCGAGTTGTGAGACGGAGCAGCTGGGGAAGGTGTCTGTAGAGGGTTAACTTCAAGCTTCATGACATGGATACTTTCCCAGCGAGGGGAGAACAAGACTTACGCTTGAGGCAGCAGGCACCTCATCAGCACGTCTGACCATCTCGATAAACATTTTGAATTAGGTATTGTAGGGGTATCTTGCAAGAAAAAACGCCGTAGAAAGAGGAACAGGACTCCAATAGACTAAAGGCGCAAGAGAGACAAGTGATGTGGAAAGGAGAAGGTAGTGGAGCAAGATCCGAACTGCTGGGTTGGAGGCGATTAAAGTAGTATTCCTCAAATCCCATCAAACACAGCATGTTCGTCCCTGCGCATGTTTCACCGGGTGGGTGTCGTTCAAAACATTTCCCACCAACATCAGACGCCGTCCGTGATACCGCGAAGTGCAGCGGAGTAAGCAGCCTCCGGGCTGACCATGCATAGCACCTTTTGCATGTGTCCAACGTCTTCCCATCAATGCGGCTCTGTGTGGCAGCCCCTTATTGAAAACATGATTGGGCAGGAGATGTGAGTGCAATGGGAAGGGTGCCGACGGGGAGGTTGCCGGCTGCCGAACGACAACAGTCAACCTAATCATCTAGAGGGAGGAAAGGTCGGCGGCGAGAACGTTGGCTGGGTCCATGCGACCGGCCGAAGGAGCCGGCGTGCATGCGATGTTTAACTCAACTTGTCGGACCGAAATAACCGTTAAGCTTGAATATTTGACACAGAAAACAGGGTGTCAGTCGGTCTTTAGGTTGAGATAATTCCAACGTCCCGTCGCTGACTGCCCAACGGCCTTTTCGCAATCCGGACAAAACGGTGTCAGCAGACTTGTCCGAATACAGAGCGAGGCTTTCGCTTGGCAAGAGCTGAACTAATCAGAGGGAACCAGCTGTCGGCGCCATTAGGCAGAGAGCTTCTTGATGACAGCTGAAAGGGGCGGTCTCGCTTACATGATTCTACGATGATTCGACTGATCAATGCCATGAAGGTAGGCTGCTTACCTACCTGGCTCATCACATCGTAAGACTTCAAGGCCCGCAGAAGCGGTGAAGACGACGGACGCCCCGGGAAGCATCGCCAACAGCCAGATCCATGCATTTGCGAAAGAAACTCCATGCATGAAGCCTCTATTCCAGAAGCAGGACGCATGAAATTCCGCCAAGAAGGATGTCGGATTAGGCTCAGGCGAAGACCCCCCATCCCCATCCCACACCGAAGCTCACCTCCCTCACCTGTGGATGACAGGCTGGCCCGTGCACCGATAGTCAGGCACACCCATGTCCAGCCGTTCCTGAGATGGTGGGGCCCGGTAGACAACGTGGGAAAGAGACATTCGCAGTGGTCCACCCCGCCGATTCCAAAAACAAAGAGGAAGCCACCAAAACACTCAACACCACATCCGTCATCACCACGACATCCTCCCCAAAAGCACCAACGCGCAACATTTCTCAACCAGTGTCAGCCAGCGCCACGACTCCCTCCCCTCCGACGTGAGCGAACACACACTCTCCATCGTCAATCAATCGCACTACGACCCCGCCAGGGCGGCCCGTCCGCTAGAAAAGTAAACAAACCATCCCGACGCAAGAGGAGACCTTCCTGGCGAAAACAACAAAGCAGACACAGCACACACACACGCAACTCCAAAAATGTCAGCCGCACAAAACGCAGCAACGTACGCAGACTGCGTCGCCTCCCTCCGCAACTCCCTCACCTACCTCCAATCCTCCGTCGAGACCCTCGACCAGGGCGTCTCCGACCTGCCCCGCGTCGCCTCCGTCCTCCGCCCCACGCGCCACTTCGAGCTCATCCCGCAACCCACCCTCGCCGCCGCCGAGGCCTCCCTGCGCGACGAGATCGGGCCCTACATCGCCCTCCTGCTCGACCGCGCAGACGCCCAGATCGCCCGCCGCGAGCGCCGCATCGAGACCCTCAAGGCGCGCTGCGAGCTGCTCCAGGGCCGGCTGTCGCAGCCCAAGGACGGAGACGACGAGGACGGGTACGCGAAGAAGAAGAAGGGCAAGGGCGTGGGAGGCAGGGGCAAGGCGCTCAACGGGGAGCGGGCGTTGCGGGCTAGGGCGGTGAGGCAGAGGAGGGAAGGGTTGGAGTACAGCGTTGAGAGGCTGGAGCTGGAGGTTTTGTCAAAGGAGAGAGAGCTGAGGAAGAGGTTGGAGAAGGCTTGAAAAGGGGGACACAGGTGTCGTGCCTCAGCTGGAT